ACCGGTAGAAAACATGAAAAACCAGCAAATGAAATACACCCTCTGAACATAAAGTCTTGGATCTACTCATGACATCTTTTCAATTCATTAGTCATCAGACTTGGCCCCCAGGAATGAAGGTGCCTGTCGAGAAGGGCTGGGGGTGGCTCACTGGGCTCACATTTATAAACAGAGCCTCTGCTGGGCTCCCCCCATCGCCAAGCAGGCCCCCCATGCAAGCTGTTTTCGGGGAGAAGCCTTCATGCTGAGCCAGTGCTGAGAGAGGAGCTCCTGGAATCACATTTCAACCAATAGGACGGAGACTTTCCCCCAGCTATAGCCTCGGCCTTCTAGCTGGCCTATCAGAGCAGCTCCATTCCAACCAATCAGAACAAAATGTCCTTGGGCCAATCAAACTGTGAGGATTTGGAATGCTAATTTGCATGAGGATGCTAATTTGACCTAGGGCAGTGATGGCGAACCTATGACACACGTGTCAGAGGTGACACGTGGACTCATTTTTTGGGTTGATTTTTCTGTTAAATGGCATTTAGCCGAAACCGGTTTGGCTCAGTGGATAGAGCATCGGCCTGCGGACTGAAGGGTCCCAGGTTTGATTCCGGTCAAGGGCATGTACCTGGGTTGCGGGCACATCCCCAGTGGGAGGTGTGCAGGAGGCAGCTGGTCGATGTTTCTCTCTCATCGATGTTTCTAACTCTCTATCTCTCTCCCTCTCTGTAAAAAAATCAAGAAAATATATTTTAAAAATGGCATTTAAATATATAAAATAAATATCACAAATATAAGTCTTTGTTTTACTATGGTTGCAAATAGCAAAACATTTCTATACGTGACACAGCACCAGAGTTAAGTTAGGGTTTTTCAAAATGCTGACACGCCGAGCTCAAAAGGTTCGCCATCACTGGCCTATGGGGACCTGGGACTGGGACTTCTCTCTCTATAAGTCAGCTCTCCTCTGGCCCACAGAGCACACTCTCTCAGAACAAAATGTCCTTGGGCCAATCAAACTGTGAGGATTTGGAATGCTAATTTGCATGAGGATGCTAATTTGACCTAGGGCAGTGATGGCGAACCTATGCCACACGTGTCAGAGGTGACACGTGGACTCATTTTTTGGGTTGATTTTTCTGTTAAATGGCATTTAGCCGAAACCGGTTTGGCTCAGTGGATAGAGCATCGGCCTGCGGACTGAAGGGTCCCAGGTTTGATTCCGGTCAAGGGCATGTACCTGGGTTGCGGGCACATCCCCAGTGGGAGGTGTGCAGGAGGGAGCTGGTCGATGTTTCTCTCTCATCGATGTTTCTAACTCTCTATCTCTCTCCCTCTCTGTAAAAAAATCAAGAAAATATATTTTAAAAATGGCATTTAAATATATAAAATAAATATCACAAATATAAGTCTTTGTTTTACTATGGTTGCAAATAGCAAAACATTTCTATACGTGACACAGCACCAGAGTTAAGTTAGGGTTTTTCAAAATGCTGACACGCCGAGCTCAAAAGGTTCGCCCTCACTGGCCTATGGGGACCTGGGACTGGGACTTCTCTCTCTATAAGTCAGCTCTCCTCTGGCCCACAGAGCACACTCTCCCTTTCTTTTCTTCTTCCTTTTGTTAATCTTCACCCATGGATATTTTTCCCATTGATTTTTAGAGAGAGTGGAAGGGAGGGGGAGAGACATTCTAAGAATAATC